ACAAGTGGCTGGAGAGCAGCACTTGTGAAAGGGACCTCGGGGTGCTGATTGACTGCAGGCTAAACATGAGTCAGCCGTGTGATGCAGTGGTCAAGAGGGCGAACGCCACCCTTGGTCGCATAGCCAGAAGTGTGGCTTCTAGATCGAGAGGGGTATTACTACCACTCTATACGACTCTGGTGCGCCCGTATCTGGAGTATTGTGTTCAGTTTTGGGCCCCTCATTACAGAAAGGATATAGCCAGTTTAGAGTCAGTGCAGCGCAGGGCCACAAGGTTGGTGGCCGGTTTGCAGGGGATGCCTTATGAGGCGAGACTGAGGAAACTGGGTCTCTTCAGCCTGGAGAAGAGGAGACTCAGAGGGGTTATTTATTTATTTATTTTATTTATTAGGACATTTCTATGCCAACATACAGGTATGTGAGGGGATGTCACATGGAGATGGGTAGAGACCTGTTCTCCCCTGCAGAGGAAGGCAGGATGCGCTCCAACAGAGCAAAGCTCAGGGAGCCAAGGTTCCATTTAGATGCCAGGAAGCACTTCCTGACGGTTAGGACCCCTTGTGTATGGAATGGGCTTCCACGGGAGGGGGTTGAGGCCCCATCGGTGCGGGTGTTCGAAGATAGGCTGGACATGCATATGGTGGGCATGTCATGAGCGGAGCTGGCTGGAGCTGGGGGTCAGACTAGATGGCCCGGGAGACCCTTTCTGACTCGCTGTTTCTGTGTTTCACATGAACCATTGGGCCTGGGCCCTCTTCTGAAAGAGGTGGTGAGGGGGCCTTCTCTTCACTCTCACTAAGCATTGTGGGCAAGATGTTTCTGCTTCTGATGGTATAGGCTGTGGCTACAGTGTGTTTCTGTCTGTGATTCTGCTCTGAGCCTGGCTGTGCTTCCCTCTCCATAATGCTAGAATCTGAAAGAGGCATCCTGTGAAGCTGAATAGTGGAGTTGTTTTACAGATAAAAGTAAGTCCTTCTCCACATAGTGCACAAGAATTGTACAGTTCACTTCCACAAGATGTAATGAGGACCACCAATTTGGAGAGCTTTAAAAGGGGACTGGATAAATTCAAGGGGAATAAGACTATAAGTGGCTAAGTGCTGGTTGATCAAATGTGGCCAGCAGAAGCAGAAGAGGTATGTCTGTGCACAGCACTTGCTGGCAGGATGGGGCTTTTGCACTCATGTCCTGCTTGGGGGTTCCCAAGGGTGGTGGCTTGGCAACTGCATAATCAGAATGCTGGTTTTTTTATGGCATGTCCCTTCTTGGGTTCTTAAGTTCCTTCCCTTCTGTAGTGTGGGGCCGTACCCACACTTACGTCTCTCTCTCCAGAGCAGTGCCCATTATCAAATTTTCCTTAATGGAAAATGTTCCTCAGCTATGAATTCTCTGTCCACTTGTTCACCAGAAAGTGATCCACTTTCTGCCCTGGACTAGTCTGGATTTATCATCACAGTCAAGGTTAGTCCGTACAAAGTAAGGACTGTTACTCAGATTGTAAATACGAAGTGCCTTCCTACCTAGCCCAGCCTCTTTAGGCTAGTTTTCTCAGTTGCAAAAGTCCTGACCTTGTGTCTGGACTACCATCTGGTGAACAAGTAAAAGGAGAACTCAGAGGTAAAGAGCATGTTCAGTATTCTTATGGAGACCCCGAAAAGTCTGGTAGGCTCCAGTGGAATCCAGCAGGAGAGCCCCGAATAGGAGCATGGGCCCCACTGGAAACTAAATAAAGCACTTTGTTAAGGAGCAGAGTGCCCAGCAGCCTCATTGCCCTTATGGGGATCCTGTCATGTTGTGCTGCTTTGAAGTTTGAACAGGCAGCAAAGTGGTGCTATGGATTGTGAGAGGGAATGCCACTGAGTTCAAAAAGTTTACCCTTTGGCTGCAATTCCACCCCTGCTCCTGAATATATCTGCAAAACCCTGAACATCTGTTTTGCTGGGGTAAGGGTGGGGTCCTCATCAGTACAGAGATGTAGAATACTGAGTTTCAGCTTCAAAAGCTCCATTAACCTTTCCCTAATCCAAAAAAGCACCAACTTAATAAATGAAGTCAAAATCTTCCCTGCTAGAAGCAATAGCAAGTACCCTTGTGGAAGAGCGGTAAGTCTCAAGCTTTCTCTGGCCCGCTGAGCCATGCCTGGGGGTGCCCAGCACAGCGGGTGTCCCTCACACGCACTTGCGAATGCGTCAGGTGCTGGCGGGCCATTCAGTGCTTCTTCAGGTATGTTAAAAACTACCTTACTGTGGTATTCAGGCAAGAAGAGGAACGCGGCAGAGTTTACAACTACATGAATGCTGTAGAAAGAGACTTAGCTGCTCTGAGGCAAGGAATGGGGTTGAGCCGCAGATCATCCACTTCTTCTGAGCCTACCCCCACCGTCAAAACGCTTATCAAATCCTTTGACAGTGCCTCACAAGGTAATTGAAAAAATGGTACCTGCATAAGTTGAATGCAGTATTTGGAAAATCACAATATTGTTATGTTTAACCGCTTGCTCGCCTGCTGCTTTGAATGTTTTATTAGTTCAAAATGTGAACAGAATATGCTCTCTACATCTGTAGAATGCAACAGGTTTCATTCAAAGAAGTTCCTAATGGGTGATGACAAGACTCTTGAAAAGATATTGGATATCTTTATAATAGTAATAATAATAATAATAATAATAATAATAATAATAATAATAATAATAATATGATGTGCTCAGGTTATGAAGCCCAGCTTCATGTAATTTCTTGTTGTTTAAAGGCACTGCATAGCAAGTTTTCATCTTCAAAATGTAAAAACTCATTTTAAACTGCCTTATCTTTCTGCATTTTGCTCTCTCTTTAGATGTCTTGCTTATATTGTTGAATCCATGAATTCCATTGGTGTGTTGTTATGCCCTTTAAGCTATATTTAAAAGTTAGTCTGGACTTTGAAAATTGTACACTAAAAAGAATATTTTATTTTTGCTTTAGCAAAATAATCTGCTTCCTGTAGTTATGTGGATTGCTAGATCACTTAGTGGGAAATGCATCAGATTCTGGCCATATAACCTGGAGCACTTCACAGGCTATGAAGACAGCCCATGACCAGGCTAGGCTGAATTCCAGATCTAGGTCAAATGCATTTGTTTTTAAGTTGTGTTTTAGTGTTCCTTTTTATTCTCTACTGTAAGCCACTCTGTGCACAATTTTTGGTGGAAAAGTGGGTTAATAATTTAATTTAGCAAATTGCTGCCCAACATACTTGGTTTGGTTTTAGGTGTGAAAAAGCGAAGAGCTTCTACTTGGGAATCTTTGTACCATAAAGAGAAACATCCATCTTTCTGTCTGTCTGTCTGTCTGTCTGTCTGTCTTTCTTTAGTGCCTAGTCCTGCTGCAGCTACAATTCCTCGTACCCCCCTGAGCCCAAGTCCCCTCAAAACTCCTCCAGCAGCTGCAGTATCCCCAATGCAGGTAAATGTATGTTCATTAGTTCGAGGATATTTTGTGAAGGCTGACATAGCAGGACTTGTATCAACACTTGTATTATGCAAATAAAAGTGAATATTTTGGAGTAGAACATATAGAAACAGAGCGAGTCAGAAGGGCCCTCCCAGGCCATCTAGTCTGACCCCGGCTCCAGCCAGCCCCCTCACGACATGGCCACCATGTGCACGTCCAGCCTATCCTTCAACACCCTCACCCTCATATGTATTACATTAAATTTTATTTATCATCACTTTCTCTCCAAAAAGTTCAGCATGGGCATGTGGGTTTCTCCTTTTTTATCTTCATAAGGACCTTGTGAGGTAGGCTACACTGGTACGGTGATCGCTCCTGAGCGAGCTGGAGTCCAGATTCAGGTGTATAGTTTGCAGAATGCGATGCACGGCCTGGCCATCTTCCCCTTGGGCACACACTGCAGAGGCATTTCTTTGGTTGTTGCTCCCCCAAAGGGCTGAACTGGATAGCTGCAGTTTAAATGCTCCCTACAAACTAGGTTTGATCCTGATGTGTAATCCTAGTTTGTAGAGGTGCTCAAACGACAGGTTTAGGGCTAGATCTTACAGGGAAACAGTTCCTTCTGTAACCAGAGGAGAGAATGCAAGGCAGCACTCAGACTGGTGGAAAACCGGCTTTGAATGCAGAAGGCTTTGGGTTCAGTTAGCCCAAGGAGCAGTGGGCAAATCTGCCACTTCTGTTTTCTTTTGTAGTCTACTTTTTGAGAGCTAGTATTGTTTTGAGAGCCTCAGCTATTGAGCAGTATAAAAAAGAAATAAGTCTAGCCCAGTGAACTTCATGGCTGAGCAAGTATGTGAACCGGGCCCTCTCTCTTTCAGGTTCTGCTATTTGCAGTTTTCTGATTTTATATGGCATTTGCCTTGTAACCTGTTGAGGGTATTTAAATCATAACTTTAAACTTTATTATTATTATTATTGTGTTTCTTCCCAATATTTATTTATTTATTTAGAAAATGTCTAGGCTGCCCCACTCGCCGAAGCCTCGGGGCAGCTTACAAATAAATTAAAATACATAAATAACAATATAAAATACACATAACTGTATAAAATAATTTAATCAAAAATCCTCTCAGCAACCCTGTGAAGTAGGCCATCAGTTCGTGTTCTACAGATGAGGCCCTGAAATGGAAAGTCTAGTGCAGATTGGTGGCTGTGCTGCTTTAGAACTACAGTTCAAGCTAGTATGTTTGGCTGCAGTGACGCTCAGATGATGTTGCATGTCTTGAGAGTTCTTGTAAAATTCATAATGGGTTTTAAGGTTCAACTGTACACTATTTCTAAGTTCAACTTCAGCAAATTCAAAAATAACTGTTCTGGTTTTTCTGCAGAGACATTCCATAAGTGGACCAATTTCTGCTTCTAAACCACTTACCACACTGTCAGACAAAAGACCAAGCTATGCAGAAATTCCAGTTCAAGGTATATGTCTTTCTGTATTAGCATTATTCCAGTGACATCCACAGTTCTTATGGGCTGCCTTTAGCTAAAAGAAAAGGTTCATTTAATGGGAGGCACCATCTCTTTTTCTCTTCTGTTGGAGCCAACTGCTGACCACCCAACCAAGGAAGAAGTGAGGATGACACTTTTGTTCAGCAGACTCCCAGTATCTCAAGCAAGGGTGATGTGGTAGTAATTAATTACCAGTCTATCTACTTGGAGACAAAGGCAGCCCCTCCAAGAAATGCTTGTCATGCGTGGCAGATGACGTGGGTAGCCAACAAGACTGGCACAGACAGTAGGACTGCTGTACTCCAGTACCAGATCAGAAAGTGCTTCCTTGGAGTGGGCCGTTGTGGAGTATCAAGTTTATACTGTATTAATGTATTAATAATTCTTCTATCCAAGTTTTCACTGAGGCACAGCTCCCAAGGTGGCTTATGGTAGCTGTAAGTACACAGATCTGAACAATGAAACCTGTAGAACGGTAGAGAAAGGAGCTACAGATAAAACCTTAAAATCAGGTGTCAGTTTAAACACCATGGCTTGGCAGATAGATACTTGTTGGACAAAAGTGAAACCAAACAACTGGAGAGATGGAAGTAGCTAAATCTCCTCCTCAGTGAAGAATTCTGCTGAAAGCCTTATTCTGCATACCATCCTATCACTACCATGGCACAAAGCACCCCACCCCCCGGCACACGCACACACACAATATCTTAAAGGACAATTAAGGTCAGACAGGAGGAGACAATTCTTAAGGTTTTCTGGAGAGAAACTGTTTAGGGTTTTAAAGGTAATTGCCAACACTTTGATTTGTATCCAGAAATTAATTGGATTTAATTAATTGCATGCACTGTGGTGCAGATGTTACATGCTTCCAACCATCCTTATCAGTACATTTTGAGTAGGCTAAGTTCTTGGAGACTCTTCCAGGACAACCTACAACACTTTGCAGTGATCCAGCCAGGCTGTGCTTAAGACGCATTTGACCATGCACATCATCCTAAACTGGGCAAAAACTATCATTACTACCTGACCATCCAGGACTTCACCTGAACTGTAGCCCTGTTTCTTTGAAAGGGAGTGCCCCCAATCCAACACTCATTTCTGGATTATTTATCTTTCTAACTAGGAAAATTTCTGTCTTGCCTCAGCTCTGGTTTGTTTGCCCTCTTTCATCCCGTTAGCAGTTCCTTTCAGAGCATAAGCAGTGTTTCCAAACCAAGATGGAAAGAGAAAAACCTGCTGTGTCTTATCCCTGTGAATCATAGAATAGTAGAGCTGGAAGGGGCCATGAAGGCCATTGGGTCCAGCACCCTCTGTTCTAGGAAGGTGACAGCACACTTCAAATAATTTGATGAAGTTTCCCAGCATGGCACAGGACTGAACCCTGAATGACACTTTGGGTCAAGTGCGTGTTTCTGTCTGTTGCAATGTACTTCATGCTGCTCTCTGGGTTGCTAGAGGAAGGGCTGTTGCTCATTGACAAAACACCTACTGGTCTCTGGAAGCACCTCCAGTTAGGGCTGGGAAAGACCTTGCCTGAAAGCCTGGAAAGCTACTCTCGCCTGTGTATCCTACTGATCATGAATTGGTGGATCAGGACCCACTACTGAACTGCAGCCTGTCGTACTGGTAAACATATATGTAATTTTAAAAAATTAAGAAGTGGTTCCCAAATGTGTGTTTCAGGTGAAGGTGCGTCCTGTGTCTGAAAATGTTGAAGGCTGCTGGTATAGATGATGATGATAACTAGGCCCACAGACAGAGCTGTTATAAAGCATCTACCTGTATTCCATTGAATGAGAAACAAAACTGCCTTGAGTTATGGACGTTGCGGCACATGCATTTCATTGTGTACTAGAGAGGCAACTTTGCATGCTTTAGATTTCCTTTGACATGTGTAGGCCACTGCTAGTCTGCACAAACAGATTTCCCTTGTTGAGCGCTCTCCTTCCATCCCAGCTACCTCAGCTTAGCAAAGGCCAAGTCTAGATCGATTTAATTCTCTGTCTGACTCAATCCAGAAGAGTTTTCAAGTATCCAGAAGTAAGATGGGTAATGTTTCTGGATTGGGCCAATCTGTAAAAAAGCATTGCAGAAAGACAGACTGACAGAGCGGCATGTCCAGAGTCTCTCAGGCCAGGAACCAATTGTAGGATTCTGTAATAATTGTTGTGCCTCTGAAGAAATGTACTTTGTTTCAGTGGGGCCTGCATATGCAGTAGAAGGTGGTGGGCGGCTTCAGGGCTGCAGGTTGCACAGCATCTATCCTGTGCAAAACAAAAATGGAACCTTCTGCATATTGGTAGATGGGATGGCTTAATTTAGATATACTGACATTTTAATCAGTGATAGTTATTTTGTCATCTTATTCCATGGGTGGGGCTGGGCTTGAGGATCTGCTTGGTGAGATGACTCCTTCATTTCCTCCCCTTGCAGATCACTTGCTGAGAACGGCCTCAGCCAGCAGACCTGCTGCACTGCCAAGAGTTCCTGCTATGGAAAGTGCCAAATCCATCTCTGGTAATCATGGAGGGATTCCGCTGTGCTGGGCAACTCAGAGGGCGGGCAGCCACCTCTTTGCACTTTGGCTCGTATCCTACAGTCAATCCTGGCAAAGTTCTTCCATTGAGTGTGGGGATACCGTGATGCTGGCTTGGTGTGGTGTAGCAGTGGGAGTGCCGTGAGATCGCTAGTCAAATTGAGTTGTGGGTCTCAGCTTCCATCCACTGAGCACAGTGCCAGAGGAAAGTGGTGGCAGCAGGCCTTTCCTCCCATGATTTTGATATAAATAGTTTTGATAACTTAAAATTGAATAATGGCATTCTCTGACATGCTGCCATCCAGACACTTTGGACTTCAATTCTCATCAGCCCCTGCCTGAACGGCTAGTGGTTGTGATACTGTGTATTGTAGCCCAAAGCGTCCTGAGGTACCAAGTAGGGAAGACACTAAGTATTTTATTTATTTAAAATTTTTGTATTCTATTGCTTTTAGCCTCGGGACAGCTCACATAAAACAAATAAACATAATACATAGTAAAATAATACAATTAAAAACCCAGAATCACCCTGGCTGCAAAATTAAAACCTATAGATATTATTAAGAGTTGTTAAAATATTGTTTAAATAAAAAGGTCTTAGCCTGGCACCGAAAAACAGATAACGACGGTGCCAGGCAGACCTCTCTGGGGAGCACATTCCATAGATGGGGCACCACCGCAGAGAAAGCCCTCCTCCAGGTACTTTGCCGCCTGATGTCTCTCCCGGAGGAGGCCTCTGCTGCCAATCTCAAGGGGCGGGAGGGCAAATATGGAAGGCGTTCCTTTAGGTATCCACGTCCCAAGCCATTAAGGGTTTTATAGGTGATTACCAGTACCTTGAACTGAGCCCAGACTTCGATGAGAAACCAGTGAAGCAGGTAGAGGACGGGTTATGTGAGAATAATGCCCAGTCACCGTCAGCAACCTGGCTGCTCTGTTTTGCACCGTCGGAAGTATCCGGACTGTCTTCAAGGGCAGCCCCACGTAGAGCGCGTTACAGAAATCCAACCGGGAAGTAACCAATGCGTGCGTCACTGTCGCTAGGCAATTGTCCTCCAGGTAGGGACACAGCTGATGGATCAGCCGAAGCTGAAGGAAAGCGCTCCTCGCCACCACAGTCACTTGCGCTTCCAAGGACAGCTCTGGGTCGAGGAGCACTCCCAAGCTGTGGACCTTGTCCTTTAGAGGGAGTGCAACCCCATTCAGGACAAGGTCCAAGTCACCTACCCAGGAGCTCGAACCACCCACTAGCAGGACCTCCGTCTTGTCTGGATTGAGTTTCAGTTTATTGGCCTTCATCCAGCACAGTACCTCGGCCAGGCACCAGTTCAGTACAGCCACTGCCTCACCTGGATTGGTTGAAAAAGAGAGGTAAAGCTGGGTATCATCAGTGTACTGATGATTCTGCAGCCCACACCTCCTGATGACCTCTCCCAGCAGTTTCATGTAGATGTTGAATAGCAGGGGGGACAGAATGGACCCCTGAAGTACTCCATGGAAGAGTTGCCATGGCGCAGAGCCAAAGTCCCCCAGCACCACCTTCTGGAATCGGCCGTTGAGGTAGGAGCGGAACCACTGCCAAGCAGTGCCTCCTACTCCTAATCCCGCTAGCCTATCCAGAAGGATACCATGGTCGATGGTATTGAAAGCCGCTGAGAGGTCCAAGAGGACCAACAGGGACGCGCTCCCCGTCTCTCTCCCTGCACAGGTCATCATACAGGGCGACCAAGGCAGATTCAGTACCATACCCGGGTCTGAAGCTGGACTGAAATGGGTCCAGAAAATCACTCTCATCCAAGAGAGCTTGGAGTTGTCCCGCCACCACCCGTTCCAACACCTTGCCCAAGAATGGGATGTTGGCCACTGGTCTATAATTGGCGGCCATCTCTGTATCCAGGGACACATTCTTTAGGACCGGCCTGACCACCGTCTCCTTTAGAGGGGCAGGCATCCGGCCGTCCCTCAGAGAGGCGTTGATGACCTCCAGGGTCCAGGGTCCAGGCCCCAGTCCCGTGTTTGGCTTTGTTCAGTAGCCACGACGGGCAGGGGTCCAGTAAACAGGTGGTGGGACGTACTTGTCCAAGCACCTTGTCCACATCATCAGGCCGCAATAACTGAAACTCATTCAACAATGTCAGACCAGACGGCAACATTGCCACCTCCCCTGAAGGCTCTGAATCACTAGTGGAGTCCAGCTCGTGATGAATCTGAGCGATTTTCTCCTTAAAGTGCTGGGCAAAGTCGTCACAGCGGGTTATCGAGGGTGGTACAGGATCTTTCCTGGGGCCTGGCTGTACCAGCCCCTATGCCACCCGAAAAAGTTCCGCTGGACGGCACTGTGAGGAGGCAATGGAAGTGGAGAAAAATTTCTTCTTCACTGCCCTCACCGCCACAGCATAGGCCCGATAATGGGTTCTTAAGTGTGTTCGGTCAGATTCATCCCGTGATTTTGTCCACCTATGCTCTAGTCGTCTCCCAACCCGCTTCATCGCCCGTAATTCAGGTGTGTACCAAGGGGATGAACGGGCTCTGCCCGGTGGGAGAGGACGCTTAGGAGCGATCATGTGAATCGCTCTGGTCATTTCCCCATTCCACAATTCGACCAGAGCATCAACAGGAGCGCCAGCTTTATCAACCAGAAACTCCCCCAGAGCTTTCAGGAATCCATCCGGATCCATCCAGCTCCGAGGGCGGACCAACACAATATTATTATTATTATTATTATTATTATTATTATTATTATTATTATTATTATTATTATTATTAT